GAGAGAGAGAGAGAGAGAGAGAGAGAGAGAGAGAGAGAGAGAGAGAGCGAGCATGGTAAAGGGGAGGAGCAGCGTGGCGGGGGTGAGAGAGGGGAATGGACGGTGTTTGAAACATGTATGAAAGGCTCCACGTCAACAGGCGGCGGTGTTTGAGCTGCGAGGGACTCCAAAACCAACGGGTAAAGAGAGAGAAAGAGCCCCGTCTGGAAGAAGCATTGAGGTGTTCTTACTAGAGATAGGTCGTCCGTCTCGGCCCCCATGGACTGGCTGAAGTCCTCGGCGCCGAGGGGAAGAGTGTCCTCCTCTTCCTCTTCCTGGTCGGGCTCCACCCCGAGGGCGGGGAAGACGGAGAGGCCGCCCACCTCGGCGTCCACCATGCCATCCAAACTGTCGGTCAGAGCGGCGAGCAGGGCCGCGTTCTCCTCTTCTATCTGAAGCGAGTCGAGCACAGTGAGAAGATGTGTTTAGAATACAGGAAGGAAAAGAGTGTAACGTTCAGCACATTGACATCATCTCACCACGAGGTCTGCTTTAGTTGGAGGAGAGAAAAGTTCATTCTTGACTTTGCAATCAAGCAATCAAGCGTTTTTCTTTTTCCTCCTGTCACATTTTTCTCTCTGTGGCGTTCATTTTCACTGCACTTTAAAAGTCCTCCACCTCTATGGAAACATCACAGTCATGGCTAGAAGTAGAGATAACTCAAACATGTCTATTGTGTAGAATAACAGTTAGAATGCCATACATCATGAAAAAGAAAATAACAGAAGTTGAATTTCTTTGATAATCTACTTTACAAAAATTGGCAGATTGTGGAATCCATACATCCAATATTTTTTTCAAGCTTCCATGTGCTCTATATACTGTATAATAAGCTCTTCACGTAGTATAACCTCGACTTACAGCTTCTCCTCTCCTCTCTGCTCTGTGTTCGGCACTTCAGTCAAAGTTTCACTGATTTGTTGTCACCTGTCTGTTGGTCTCAGCCGAGTCAATCACGGCTTCCTAGCTGCGCTGAGGAGCTCAGAATTTAATGTTTTTTAAAGGCTCTGGTTAGATGAAATGGTTTATTTAAGATAAAACATTTGATATGAGACATGCAGAATTAAATATTTGTGATGAAATATCACATTTTTAAGCTTAGTTTCGGTTGCTTTGGTCAAGATATCGGAAAAATTTAATTCGGAGGATAATACGGAAAAAAATGCTTTTCCGCTATGCCGGTGGGTTTTAGTCTTGACATGCTCAGAAAGGACAGAAAAATTAACTACTGATTGCAAGGACAATAGTTAACTCATCATTTCCTACATTTCCCAGAATTCAACAACACTTCATGGGAGCAGCATCAGCCTGTTGCTCTCGGCTGTTGTTACATATACGAGGAGGCATTAAAAGCAGGAGAGGAAGAAAAGCTTATAATTACAACCCGAAACACCTGCGACTGCAATGCATTGTGGTCTAACTCCTCCAATTCCTCCCCGTGTGATTGTTGAGCGTCAACGTAAAAATAGCCGCTCTTGAAAGAAGCCCTCTCTCGACTTTGTTCTCGTGTGCTGTTGATGTTTTAGATAACTTTAGAAAATATTGATTGCTGCAGCATTGTTACACATAAATCAATCGTAATTTGATCAGTTATTTTGAGGTCATTTGGCATGAAACAAAGATTGTATGGTGGATACAAATAGGCTGTTGTGATGGATAAAGATTTTTAAAAAAGGCCTGATTCTACTACCCTAAACCTCGAGTGACCCCGCCCTGCAAGCCACAGAGATGAAACAGCAGCCATGTTTGAGTCTTTTGGTCTTGAGTCATAATGGCAGATGAAAAACAACAGATTTCTATACTGTATTTACAATTGGAAATGATCTTCCTCAGCAGATAGTCTTTTGCAGCTGCGTGCCGTTGCTGAATCGCTCTCCTCCATCTTCCTCCTGCATTCACTGCACTCAGCTGCTGCCTGAAGTCCATTCTTTCCTCTTTTCTGTTTTTATCTTTAACACGGCCGATATGTTGTAATCTTTGACCTCATTAGAAAGGACACAGGCTCTTCACTGTCTGTTGGAATCTCAACAATCTTGGTTTCTCATGATGGTGTACACGCTTTTCCAAAAAAAAAAAACGGTTAAATTTAAAGATATGCGGCAGAAAATATTGTTTATCTGTAATTTCAGTCCCAAAAATGTCCGCCCCGTCATCCCTCCTGTTCCATCCACGCGGGGGGTTGTTTACTGCGATGGAGCTGCCATCTTGCTGAGAGCAGAGTCTGGTGGAGAGGTGATAGCGAGGCTGGCCTACGGGAAGCCACCGAGCTCCATTCATCTGTCTCTCTCTTTTATCATCCAGCTCCATCTCCCGGCTGCCAAACCATTTATTATTTAATTTATTCTCTGTCTCACGGCCTCGCTGCCTCTCTTTTCCTCCTCACTGGTTGCTGCAATTTAGACTTTGAAATTGTCCACAGAATGTCAAAACGCATAGTCATGAGGAAGATTTAAAGTTTGCAGGAGTATGATTGATTCTTCTCCTGATAATAATGAAATGTCTTTGGGTTAAATATGTCTTTCTTTTTGAATCTTCTGATCCATGGTTTTAAAATGATTTAGTTGGATTTTCCTTCTTTCTATTTCAAATTTAAATTGTCTAAGTGATGCTTCAGCAGCATTATCAGTACGTGTGTACATTTAAAGGCACTCATGGATATTACCTGATTATATTAATTAGATTAGAGAGGTATTAATTAGATTTCCTGGGTAGTAATTACATTCCTCAGTGAGTAAGACAGAAACAGAGAGACGAAGACGGTAACATCAATGACAGAAACATAACATATAATGATATTTTTCACCGTGTAGATGTCTTTACATCATTATTATTGATATTAAAATAATATATAACACGTAACTAAATCAATCTCCTTCTCTACCCTCTGCAAGGTTAAATGAAGCCCTTCCACACACCGATCAATCCCGCCCGACATGGGATCAGACTCCGATACGTTACTGTAAATAAGTAGCGTATCGGCGGAGAGACAGAGACGTAGCGACACTCGATCTGTTGGCTTATCACTCATTCATTAATGTGTGTTTACGACCAAACGCCGTCCGACTGTCTGCTCTGATGTATTAGTCTGTCAATACGGTATTGGCAAAATATAATATGCGGGGTGGCAGAGGAATGGAAAGATGAGACATATTTTTGCAACCTTGGGATCCAAGTGACCCAGTGAAGGGAGTAGTCCACTATATTTATTATTATTTAATTGTTATGGCAGGTATAATATGGAGGGTGATGATCTATGTTTGTGTTGATTTATTGTGTGTTTCTTGTTGTTTTTTGTGTCGGAGTCTGATTCTTCGTATAGTTATGTTATGTTATGTACTATTCTTTTGAGGGTAGCAAGAATAATATCGAGAGGGTAAAAGAGATCAACAGAGACACAGACAGTAAGTGAAAAGAGAGAAAGAACAGAAGAGGGATAATAACAGATAAATGCAACTGTTTCCATGTTTATCAGGTGATGTCAGTAGCAGATGACGCGTCTTGTTGTTGCATCTTTCTCACAAAGAGTACGTCGTCACTACCAATAACTATTACTGTTAATGCAGCACTGTGAGTCCAGTCTGCGTCTTTAGGTTTTGTGAAAGACGGCAGGAAGACAAACAGTCACTCGGGCGTCGGGCTAATGGGGGGATCGAAATAAAGAGAGTACAGACGGAGAGCGTCTGTGTTTACTTCAGCTGCATTCCCATCATGTCTTCCCGGTCTTCATTTAACCAATACTCCGCGGTGCATCGCAGCATCAGAGCAATTTCCACCGGCAGAGCAGCGTTACACAGCCAATGATCTGGACCTAAATGATACTTTATCTCTCTGTTGTCATCTTATTTTATTCTCCAGATGCACTCAATTTAGCCTCTGTAATGGGACCTGGAGCTGGAAGCCTATAGACAATCAATGATCCAAAGGGTTTTTGCTTTCAGATAAGAGACGAACCAAAAAGGTATTCCCTGAATTCATCTAGCAAGGGCACCTGATACCGGAGCCTCTGGGTTTTCGTTGGCCGGTCAACAGACTGATGGACTGCCGCCATCATCGTGTTACACGTGGCGTAGCTGGGAATACCTTGGCACCAGCCCTCTTGAGACGTGCTGCACATTTCAGCAAAAGGGATCGGGTGAAGGGTCCGGTGCTTTGAACGTGTCGACAGTCAAGGAAACTTTGGCTCCGCGGGGCCCCGGATTCAATGTGCTACAAGAGCGTTTCAACAGACTTGCGTTTCGAGGCAACAGCTTGGGGTCCATGTCCACTGAGGGAGTAAACTGGGACACATTTAGAACGGACCGACTGTGAATATGCGTCTATATAAGTAAAATGACCAGAGTACTTTGTAAAATAACTCTGGTCTAAAGAATAAATATTTATATTAATATATTTTGCTTGTAAAAATAGATATGCCAAATCGTGCTGACTCAAATACCCTTAAATCTGAAGCTATCAGGAGTTCAATTTGTGATGGAGGTTCTTTTCCACGCTAGCGATTTGTTTGTGGCTTTAACGTTGCAAAACCCGAAGCTCGTCCACCAGAATTTCACTCAATCCACTGTTAAATCTATTAATTTGATAAAAGCATGGCTACCACCATTGGACTTGGAAGGATCAAGCTGCACTTGAAGAGGGGGCAGCAGGACAGAGAGCAGGAAGGGCGAGAGGAAGTGGACTCTGTGTTTACATCATGGTGCTTGGTGCTTAAACACAGTTAAAGTTGACGGACATTGTTTTCCTCATGTTGAGGAGCAGAAGAAACGCGTCCACGGCAACATGTGAACTGTGTTTCGGTGAAGAAGCCTCACCTCAAAGAGCTCATCCGCCGTACTGTAGTGGTGGATGGAGGACGGCGACACGTCCGCCGGCTGATCGTTGCACCACTGAAGCTCGCTGAGACAGTTGACGCTGTCGAAGTCGCTGGTGTCCAGCTGGGAGAGGTCGATGTCCGGGAAGTCAGTGTCCAAGCGGTCCGAACACACCTCCTCCTCCCCATACTGAAGATGGAAAAAGAGAGGGGAAAGGTCCCGTTAGTCAAACATTGAGATTAAAGCAAACCCCCCCCCAGGCGGTTTGTCTTCTTTTTGACATGCAACAACAGTGCATGAGTCACTGTGTAAAACATCCCCCCCCCCCCCCCCCCAAAATAACTGGAGGTGCTGATCACAGCTGGAAAGATCCTCAGTGAGAAATGAACATGCGTCACTTAGTTGCTCTCTCATGCGATCACAAAGGGATTGATGTTTTCTCTGTGAGCCCTGCTCTCTGAAACACCAGCTACCAAACATGGGAAATGACTTCCCTCTGTGAGACTCCCAAGGCTGGTGTTTCCTGTGAAGTTCATCGCTCTGAGCAGCACCGGCATTGTTAAAATTAGGGGCTTGGTTCCCGTTGGGACAGACTTTCTAAAATATGTATGCAGCTGAAGTAGTGCGAGGCACTTTGGATAAAAGCCTCCATCATCTGGCATATACTGTATATTATTACACTGTTCACTGTCGGAGTCACAAGGAGCTCTCATCAACAGCCCCTCATCTCTCAACAGCTACTCATTACAGATAATGAGACTTCCATGTTAGACGGGGTTCGACACCGAAACCAATGGAGGCATCAGCCCCGGCACAATGGAGGATTAGACAGAAAATGTGTCACCTACACCGGCAGCACCTATCTGGAAGTGTCTCCGTGCATTTATCGAGCGCATCTCCCTGTGGCTCACAACAAAGAGCAGCCGTGGCCCGAGAGGTCTTACGGTCGATTAGTTCCCCTTCGTTGGTTGAGGGTGTGTTAATCAGTTTAAATGAGCTGCTGTTTGGTCTGTTTGATCTGTGGACTCTTTGGTCACGGTGGCACAGCTTTGTTTTCTGTGTTTGATGCAGTCAGAGAAATCTCCCCAAACGTGGGAACTGTGTACAATGATTCTTGAAAAGTAAGTAATTTGCTCTGCGCACGTACAATGTAAGAGACTGAAGATTAATTCAAGTTTTCATTCATTTACAGATTAATATTTGAAGTTCAACATATTTTTCCCCTCCATCAAGGACCCTGCCAGCCACCTCACGAATCAAGGAAACAGCCTCATGATCCCCTAGAACCCCATTAAGAACCCCAAAAACCTTCACAATGACTCCTTCAACCCCCAAAGGATCCCTGGACTACCTTTGCAGATCTGGGACTCCTTTAACCCCTGTATTCCTGGGAAAACCTCTTCAGGAACTACTCAAGGACCTAAACGACAGGAATCCCGGGAGTAACTCTTCACCCTAAAGACATCTAGAGCTCCCACAAGGAACCTAATAACCTCCCCAAAAAAACTCTAGAACTCTAGAGAAAGAACATCTAAAACAGGGTGGAATGTCTGTAGTGCCTAAAGGAGCTCTACAGTATAACACCTGAAGGAACCCCTTAAGGAACCCCTTTAAACTCCCTCACGAACCCCTAAAACAGAGTGGAATGTCTACAACCCCTAAATACTCATAGAGGCCCCTAAAGGAGACACACACACACACACACACACACACACACACACGCACACACGTTTCCATTCATCTCCGTAGGCGAGCAGACAGGGTTGACCTGTTACACCAACCACCTCTCAAACTGAATTTAACTGACGGTTTTCATTCCCGATCAGGTTTCCTCGAGGTAATCTCATCTCTCTCTGACTGACTAAACTCCACGTGGCCTCTTACACTCCACTGCAGCTGAACCCTATGAGTAGATAAATAACTTTCAGTTTATTCTGTGTGAAATACTTTATGTGACTTACCTACAGTACAGTCAATGATGTCTGGATACGTGCTAAATGTATTCTTATCTATGAGTAGCTAGATAACAACATCGTCCATTTACTTAACTGTCAAATGCTGATTTTACACAATCTAAAAATAACGCTCTACTTTAATTGTCAACCGCGGGAAGAAACTCTCATCATCTGATTATTTTCACTGTCAATCCATCTGTCGATTATTATTTTTGGATTAATCATTTAATAAAATTATAAAAACATGACTTTTTCCATTTCTTACTTTACAGTACTTCGTAATCACTCAACCTCCCTCCTCTCTACAAACATCCACACAACATAAACACTGTAACTTCATCCAGAAAAACACATCCAGCCGTAATATCTTAAGCGATACAACATCACGTTGTGTTGACGATGGCTGCTCGTAGTGCGTCGATCTATGACATCATACAACTCTAACGTACAACTGTGCCCGTTCTGTGTGTTGGTGTGTTTATTTAGTGTGTGTGAGGAACGTTTATTTGGGTCAAGGACTGGATGTAGCATTAATGCTTCCATAAATTACAGAGCAGAGTTACACGATATAGCAGACACGACCAAAGAGCCAATCAGCAAAGTGGGGGGGGGGGAGTGTTAAGGTGAGTAGGATGAAGGGGGGAAAGGCAGGAGGAGAAGGAGCTGGAGAAAAGGAAGGAGGAAAGGGAACAAAAAGGTGAATATGAAGAGAAGGGGGTGCAACGATTGAGTGAGTAAGTGAGAGGAAGAAGAAGAGAGAGATGTGGGTCAGAAAATAAAAGAGCGATATAGAGATGGAGCAACGGGGAGAGGGAGGAGAGTCGTGACTTGATTGAGAAGCAGAAGGGAAAGGGGAGAGGAGACGAAAGATGAGAAAGGGGGAAAGGATGCCCTCTATACGACCCTCCCATTGCTTCCTCTCCCCCCCAGCTGCTGATGCAGGTGTGTTTTTACCTAGAGAGACAGAGAGAGACGGAGAGAGAGAGAGAGAGAGAGACAAAGAGAGAGAGATAGAGAGCGACAGAGAGAGAGTGTGTGTGTGTGTGTGTGTTAGCACGCAGCTCACATCCCTCTCACGTGCGCCTGACTCATCCCCTTCCAACACTCGTTCCATCAGCGCATTCTTCCTTTCCTCTCTCCTCTTTCATCTCACTCTCTTCTCCGCTCCCTCCCTTCCTTCCCTTCATGGCCCTTGTCCTCTTTCCTTCACTCATCACATTCCGCATCCTTTCCTATCCTTTTCTCCTTCATTACACATCATTCCTCGTCGTCTCTTCTCTTTTTTCTCCTCTCCTTCCATCGTCTTTCCTCTTTCCTCCCTTTTCAGTTTCAGTCTTTCCTCTTCCTCCATTCCCTCTCCTCTTTCTCACTTATCTTCCATCCCCTCTTTTATTCTTCCATCTTGTTCCTCAGTGGTTTTCTCCTTAACTTTCTTCTTCTCTTCATCTTTTCTTCCCTCTTTCTTTGCTTCCACCCTCCTCCCATTCTTCATTGACATCTTTATTTCCTTTCATTCACCTTCTTTTCTTTTTCCTCCATTTTCTCCATCGATCTGTTTCTCCTCAGCATCCTTCCTCTCATCTTCTCCTCCTTCCTCTCCTATCAAGCCATCACCCTTTCTCTCTTTGGTGCCCTTCATTCTTTCTCTTCTTTCTTATCTCTTCTTCTTCATTCCTTCTTCTGCTCTTCTTTCATCCCCTTACCTTTTCTCCCCTCCTCCCTCCCTCCCTCCTCTCACCCTTTCTTCTTCACTCCATCCCTCTCTATCTATCTCTCTCTCTCTCCTCCCTGATAAACTCGGACGAACAGGTTGATTGATTTCTTTGTTTCCACTCAGCTTCTCTCTATCCTCAGTCATTCTCTCCATTGCAGCTGTCAATCAATAAAAACATCCTTGGGCAGGCCACACACACACACACACCCCCCTAAACACATACACGCAAGTAACACGTGTGCACACGTTGCACCAGAAAACAGGTGAACTGGGCACACACACACACACACACACTCTGCAGCACATACATACATACACGTCATGTGATCTCATCTGCGTCACATTCACATACCGAAGCGTCGACCCTCTGCTGGTCTCTGTCACGCACTCAAACACACACATTCATATAGATATTGCTCCATGTCTCACACACACACACACACACAAACACACACACTGTGTGAGAACAAAATCATGCGCAACACACAAACGTGACCAAGCACGACGACACACACGCACACTCTCTGACATGTGTGTTTGAACTTCCTCTCCGCTGCGGCAGAAGGCGAATGCGGTGTTCCCACCGCCGCGCTGACTCTGAATAATGATGAAGCCCCCGACAGCTACACACGACACGACTCACACACGCCAGGAGGAGGAAGAAGGCAACGGAGCAGCTCGGCAACGAGCGACGCCTTCCCTGCTCCGCGCTCGTGTCGGCTCTGTTTTGTACACGATCACTGAACATCCTGTTGAATTTATTGCAGCGACCTTTCTGACCTCATGCGTCGAGATTTTCAAACAGTTCAGTTTCTAGCTAATCTCAATCAGGAAGTTTTAGGATCTCTGGTATCCAGCAGCAAAGGTCCATAGAAACCAGTTCAGTACACTCACTCTGTTGCCCTCCTCGTTGCTCCAAAGCTAGTCATGTACCTAGCAATTTACTGGCAAGGCAACAAGTGTTGCAAACAGACTGATCAAGGGCATAGAAGATTATGCTGAAGTGGGTTTTTTGTGGCTGTTTTGAAGCTTTGTTTTGCCGTGAATCGGGGTCACTGTTATAATCTATTGGAACTAAAACTGGTTACAGCTGCTGTTTTTCTCCCAAACTACAAATTCTTCAGAGCATCTTTTCATGCTTACAGGGTGATCAGATGACTAACACAATCCAGAGGAGGTGGCCTTAAATCTGTACGCAAAATGTGTCATTCAGATTGAGCTCATTAATACAGTTTAGCTGATTTCCTCGATGTGTTTGACGCAGTGCATCCTCCAGCATTAGGTCGAACACAGTTGATAACATGATGAGTCCACTAGGAGAGAGAAGTGAGTCTGTACCTTCACGTTTTAATCCATAAACTCTCGATGCATTGAAAATGAACGCACACTCAGATTCCCTAAACTTCCCCTTCTGAAGTGGCCCTGAGCAAAAAGAGAGTTTGAAATCCACACGTGTGAGGTATGAATATAAATCAGGGTTTGTTTTTTGTTTTTCTTTGCTGAAAAACACCACAGTGCTC